AACCCAAAGGAATTACACTACAATGGAAAAGGAGCTATTAGCTGTCATCCTTTGTCTCAAAGAATACCAGAATATGCTATACGGTGGGAAAATCAACATCTATACTGACCACAAGAACCTCATCTTCAGGACACTGTCCCGGTCCCGGGTTCTTTGATGGAAACTGTCCCTTGAAGGCTTTGACATCATGTGGCAATATATTCCAGGCTAGAAGAATGTTCTTGCAGATTGTTTCTCTAGAGTGCCCCGAATGGATCAGTGCACTGTTGGGGATAAGGAAAAGAAAATATATGAACAAAAGAAAGGAACAGTTGTGAATTTCAAGGAGCTAACAGCTCAAGTGGATCCAGATGATGTTTTCTATTTGGAGCCCGTTTTACATGAGTGCTTGCTCAATTTACCACCAGTATCAGAGATGGAAAATCCAATATCGAATGCAAGTATTTACACTTATCAGCTCACGGATCCACAGTGTCAACACCTACTTGAAATTGATCCAACACACTATGACAAGAGGAGGATACTAGGCACCTTTGAACTACTCACAGTGACAACGAATGATAACTGGAAGATTTACCTGCCTGAAGGACTGGTCGATAGCACCCTCAGATGGTACCACCTCTTATTGGGTCATTGCGGAAGCACTAGGCTCTATGAAACTATCAGTGCTAGATTTTATGCTCCACGACTCAGCCTAAGATGCAAGCAATATCAGTGTCCGGATGAGTGCCATCGATTCAAACAACAAGGACAGGCTCATGGCTTATTACCAGCTCGCGAGGCTCAGCTTGTTCCTTGGAATGAAGTATGTGTGGATTTGATTGGTCCTTGGAAAATGCTTCTCCCAGATGAGACTGAATTGATGATTAATGCCCTCACTTGCATCGATCCAGTCACTAACCTATTGGAAATCATCAGGTTCAATAACAAATCAAGTGATTATGTTGCAGAGCAATTTGCCAACTGTTGGTTGTCAGGTTATCCCAGACCCAACAGATGTATTCATGACAATGGCAAGGAATTCATCGGAACCCCATTTAAACAGCTATTGAATCAATATGGAATTAAGAGTGTCCAAACTACTGTGAAAAATCCACAGGCAAATGCAGTGTGTGAAAGGGTCCACCAGACCATCGCCAATGTCCTTCGGGCAACCCTTCACACAAAACCACTTGAAGAAGCTGAATTTGATGAAAATCAACTAATCGACAATGCCCTCGCCTCAGCAATGCATGCCACCAGATGTGCAGTGAATGCAGCAGTGAAGACATCACCAGGAGCTCTGGTCTTCAACCGTGACATGGTGGTTATGGATATTCCGCTGATTGCTGATTTAAACCTTATCAGAGACAAAAGACATCACCAGATAGATGAGAATCTTAGGAGAGAAAATGCTAGGAGAATACCTTTCCGGTATCAAGTTGGGCAGCAAGCCTACATGAAACACTATGAACCAGACAAGCTATCCCAAAGATTACATGGTCCCTATCCTATAGTGGAAATTAATACCAACGGAACAGTTGTCTTACAAAGAAGTGATAATGTACATGAGACTGTCAACATTCGGAAGCTTCTTGTGCCTTACAAAGGAACTGTCAACGCTAATCCCGGAGATCCAGCAACAACAGTTGAAGAAGAACCTCCTCTTGAAAATATTGAAGATATGATTACAACAGTTTAGTAGTAATACTGAAGGCAGCATTCCTGTTGGGGATAATGCAACGGATACGATACGTACGAAGCTCCAAAGAGAGGAATAAAGGAACATACCATTCCTACGTATGTATTGTAAGGTACCTTTTATTTGTATGTATCATAGGATCCATCGTAAGAGGTCCGAGGATCGTAAGAGGTCCGAGGATCGTAAGAGGTCCAAGATATCCAGAAATAGATTATCTCGCAAAGAACAAAGATGTGAATAGATCAGAATAATAAGAATCCTGTGTAGATTCAATCGGCTCGCGCGGCCGTATTCAATTGTTACGAAAGGCGTAGTATGCTCTCTCGATTTGTCGATTTATTTACCTAATACCGTACATAATAAAAATTTTGAACGGAAAATCGATTGACAATTGAGCTTGTACACGGAAAATCAGTTGACATTTGAGCTTAAGAACCGATATATTTAATCTTGGATCCTACAGTATTTACTGCCGGCACCAAAAGTCATACAATTGAAATCGGAGCTGTCTAGGGACCACGAAGGGAAACAAAAATATATTTTTCCTTCAATTACAGTACCGTACCGTATGAAGTAGGACTATTAATGGTAAGTCCCTTAGTCGCAAGTTATTGGCAATTCCCCGGGTGTCAATTTTTTCTCATTTTCCCGTCTTTATTTCCCCGCTCCCCCCCCCNTGTTGTTGTTGCTTCTTCAATAATATCTCCTGGGCTGATACACGCCATCCACAGTATATCCACAATGATCAAAGGTTGAATCAAATGGACCCAGCGTTCTGTAGGCCTCTGTTCTAAGGGCTTGCTCCATATCTGCAGTGGTCCAGTAAGGCCTCGCCATCTTGCTTACAGCCCCAATCAGATCACAGATCTTATACTCAATAGCAGGTCCATACTTTGGTTGGTAAGGAGGCCTAGGAATGGATACAAAGCGGGTCCCCCCCCTTCTAATAGTCTGCCATGAAGCGTCTGAGCTACCACACCAGCTAGATGAGCACTAAGATTGTCCCAAAGAAACACTCTATGAGTATCAGTATCACCAGGTGCTGGATTCTGCTTGATATCAGTGTAGATCTTGTCAATGAACTGAGCAAAGGTCCAAGCTGTTGTGCCTGCTGTCCTAAGGACCTCAATCCATCTCCTTGGATTCTGGATACTTCCTCTAGTCTAGTCGCTGCTGGTAGTCTTGGATCCCCTGGCTCAATAGCTAGCAACACGGTCAGCTTCTCAGTCCTCTCATAGTGTCCAGGGGTTCTAGACCTCCTGCTTGTGATTGACCATCCATACCTGCAGTTGGTCCTTTGCATGTTGAAAGCAAACTYATCCACGTCTATAAACTTCCTCCTTGGGATACCAACTACTCCAAGGGGAAAGGGACGCGTCCAAAAGAACTCACATCTTATCAAGTTCCTGGGAGTGAATACTTGATACACTTCAGTGGACTTCCTCTTCCTTGTCACCTCCATTCCATGCAGTCTCCTGGAGATATCTACTCTTGAATATATTCCTCCCCCCTCATTATAAATGAATGTTGCCAACTCATTGAAGCTGGCAGAAGGATTGATAGTCAAACCAATGGTAAGGAGGTAGAGATCTGGTCCAACAAGCTTGCTTTGATCTCTGTTGCTTGTCTYTCTGTATGGATCAAGGCGTCTACTCCATCTTGAAAGTGAAGGCTGACTAGCAGAAGTAGGAAGACCAGCAGCCTTCCTTTCCAGTTCCTGTTCCCTAAAGAAGACAGGATAGCCTTCACTCCCTCCCCTAGAAGGATGAGGCCTTTCAGCTCTTCTTTGTTGTGTTAATCTAGAAAGATCAGCACCGGCTCTGATCTTTGCTACCTTATCTGCTGGATCAATAGGCATGCTGATTGCTGTTGCCAACGTCGGAAGAAGCAGTCTCGTCGTAAAAATAAGGAGTTGCTACTGTAACTCACTATAAAATCTGTTACACTTGCTTGTTTGCTACAGTTAAGGGCTTGTTCAATCAACAATCAAAGAGAGCTATCGATTGATACCAAGTACAGTAAGAATGAGTGAGTGGAAGTGCTTGGAATAAAGTGATTCCCATGGTCGGTTGCTCCCAACCGAGTTTCTTTGAAATAATGAAAAAGAACAGTTTACTGTACGGTAGCGTGCTGGATCAGCGTGCTGGAGGGAAGTTTAGGTCAAGACAGTAGGACACAGTGCAATTTTGTACCCGGAGACAAAACCCTTCCATTTTGAGCAAAATGGCAAGGTTTCCCCCTTGATCCACGATTTTCTACAGGATTTTCTACACAGCTTTGTACTAGGATCCATCCAAATAGATCATTTTGCTCCTCCTCGCTGAGCAGCTGATCCAGCTGGACCAGCAGCTGCTGACCTGCCGGCGTGCCCCTAACGGGGCTAGTACTAATTATATGTAGGCCTACTTACAATAGTTGGCAACTTGGGCCGCAAGTTGACAACTTGGATTCAAAGATGATAACTATGATTGAAGAGCACTTGCGCGCTCGCGCGGCCGTATTCAGTTGTTATGAAACGCGTAGTAATAAAAATTTTGAACGGAAAATCGATTGACAATTGAGCTTTTAAACGGAAAATCAGTTGACATTTTGAGCTTAAGAACCGATATATTTAATCTTGGATCCTACAGTACCGTATTTACTAATTTACTAATTTACTAACCGTACCGGCCGGCACCAAAAGTCATACAATTAAAATCGGAGCTGTCTAGGGACCACGAAGGGAAACAAAATATCTTTCCTTCAATTACAGTACCGTATGGAGGGCAATTGGATCAGAAAATTCTGCAAGATTTTTCTACTCGAAGTCGTCGAGATGGATCTTTCCATTTTATCACGGTTTTCAATCTCATAATACTTTCCATAATGCATGTGATGAAACGCACAATGCTACTCCTTGCTCTGCTCATCGGCCTTTCAGGCATCGCTGCAGAGCAAAATGCAGCTGAGCAAGTTGCAACKTGTCCACGTTGGTGTATGCCTCTTACATGCACGAACATGCTCACGGGTGAACCGAACCCTGCTTGTGCAGCTTGTGATTTTTGTCAGACTCCAAGGAACTGCGAGTCGTATTGCAACGTGCTCATGTGCGGTATTTTTATGTGTMSGGGTTGTGACATTTGTCAAACACCACCTGATAAAAAGGTAAATATTTGTATTATTTGGAACCTTCGTCGATTTTCTGTAACATCGAGTCGTTTGTCATAACGGTGTGACATCTAGTTGGTAGGCCTWTACACTTATGAAGATGTTGGCTTATATATACTTTCATTCTCTTTCTTTCATTCATTTAATTCTCCAAAGTGCAACCCCATGTGCAATCAAGCGTTTACATTTGTTGACGGGGAGTGGAAGTWTCAATTTCCGCCAGCATTTAGTTGTAGTGCAACTCCGGAAGAATGTGGAGGCTGTCCAATATGTCAGCAATGTGAAACTTGGTGCTCTCCTGTGTCGTGCGGCAGCGGTTTTTGTGAAAATTGTGAATTCTGTAAAGYCCCGTTCGAACCAACCCCCACTTGCGCAGCTTGGTGTTCCGATTTTGTGTGCGCAGRTTCTCAGGACTTTTGCTCCGGCTGCAATTGGTGTAAGACCCAACCCAAGAGATGCGACATGCATTGCATGCCCTTGACCTGCAGCGACTCCTCTTGCGAGGACTGTGGGTTTTGTAATCCACCGGCAGCCCAGTGCAACATGTACTGCAGCGACCGCTCGTGCAATTTTGGAAGTGAGGGCACTCTCCGCCCCTGTACTGGATGCCCATTTTGCACAGAGACCGAGATGTTCGAGAACCCCAAGCCAAAAAAGAGCAAGAAGAGCAAATCCGGTGGCCAGTCCAGTGGAAAGTCTGGTGCTAAGTCCTTGCTCGTTTGAGATTCTATACGCGTTGTCGCACTTGAGGCATTTTCGTTRTGGGAATGGAAGTGTAAACGAAGGTATTTTGAAAACTTAATAATTTAGTAGAAAACACATTTTTCGTCCATCGGAAACATCTATATTTTTCTGAATTGTGTCCCCTCACTTTGGATGGAGGACTGTTCTCTATGGTGACTTTGAGTTGCGTCAAACAGTGCTACGGATTCCCAAGGGATGAAGAACGTATTTATTTTGTTCACTGAGGGATGCTCCTGGTGCACCAAGGAGAAGTCGAAAAAGAGCCTAAATAGCAGCAAGGGAGGCGGAAAGTCCGGGGTAAAGTCCATGGGGGTCTGAGATTCTCTCCACTCTGTCGTGTCTTGAAGGCATTTTCGATGTAAATTGAAATGTACAAGGAGGGTCGATCCATGTTAGCTTGCTTAGTTTAGTTTGTGTTAAAAGTCATGTAGGAAAGGTTTCTTGCATGTGCTTTCGTCCGACTCGTGTCTTCCCTWGTCGGATGGGGCAGGGGGGCTCGGCCCGCAGCCCGGAATTGAGCCGAGCACGACGGAATCCRCCTTGACTCGGTTTCACGAGTGCACCGATCGACCCACGAGTACCCGGATCGCGTGCGGATTGCCGATGGCGTCTAGAATRCTTCCGCGGTGGCTGGAACCCACCCCTCCGTCGGGTCCGGGGTCGGCCGCKGGATGGCCCGCCAGTACCAGAAACCGCTCGGACGCCTCGTCGCGCTCTTTGGTGTTGCGGAGCAGCGCGTGGATGCGGGCCTGCAGGTAGCAGGTCTCCCGCARCCGCCCCCGGTCCTGACACTCTTCGAACAAACGCACGGCCTCGCCGAGGGCCCGGAGCGCCCGGTGGTGCCGTCTCCCGGAAGCACCAGGGGCTCGGCCCCGGGCTTCTCCGTGGCTTGCGGCGAGCGCAAGGTGGGCCCTGGCCAGGGAGAGATAGGCTTCCGCCCGAAACCAGACGTGCTCCCGCTGCAGCAGCGCCGGCAGCGTCCCATCGAGAACAGCAATGGCGCGCTTCGGGTTTCGGAGCCCCAAAAACACCCGGGCCAGGATCGACATGGCCGCAGCGTGTAGGCCATGCATTTCCGTCTGTTCGCACACGGTCAGCGCCTCTAGCAGCGGCGACAAGGCCGTGGTGCACTGGTTCCGATCCACTTCCAGCTCTGCGATTCCCATTTGAATCAGTACTCGCACCTGGTGTTCCAGGAATCCTTTTTGTTTGCAGTATCGGACAAGCGCCGTGCCGACTTGCTTGGCTTTTTCCCAGTTTTTTGTGTGGCAGAAAAAAAGGTGTTTCTGCAACCGAATGTCGGCATAGAGCCGGTCTCGGTTGTACAATCCGGGATGGAGGTACGAATCCAGCATGGTTTGTAGTGCCATCGCGTCGTCAGTGTCGCCGCGACGGACGGCCCATTCGTGAAAGACCAGGGCCAGGTGCTGGAGAATCGGTTCCTCGAGATCGTTTCCGTCCAGGTTCAGTTCGATCCGCAGTTGCAGCATGGCGTCGATGGCTCTCGCATAGGCACAGCATTCCTTCTGGCCGTTCTGGTTCTTCTTGGTACGGTTCGCTTGCTTCGGGGGAGAACCATGCAGGGCACACCTGGCGATGTTCTGGATTGCCGCAAGCAGGTCGTCGTAGGACAGCTGGTGGTGTTGACTCAGGGCCGCCTTGGAGGCCCACTTGGACATGACCGGCATCCCCAGAGAATCCCATATTCCCGCGGAAACCAGCCGTTGGAGGGCCATGCTCTCCAGGACCTCCCTGGGATTTTGCGACAGGTGCGTCGGTCGATCAAAGGCCCCACCGTGGTCCGTGCTCGGTTCCGCAGTGACCTGGAGGAGATGGTTCCAGGAGGTGGCGGTCCGGCTTTGCCCCCCCTCTTGCAAACCGGCGGCTACTCCGCTCGCGGGGTTGTTGGCTTGGCCACCCTCCCCCAGCAGGGCGCTYCTCGCCAGCGTCAGCTGCGCCCCGGCCACCAGCGGGCGCAGCTGGGTTCCCGAAGCGCGGCGAGAGCACCTTCGCAGGAGCTCGGTGCGCTCTGCGATTCCCTGGCCGCGGTGTTCGTAGAGCCACCCGAGGGCAAAGGCGACGCAGGCCGCGTCCTTGGATTGCTGCGCGACRCGGACGGCTTCTTCGGTGGCCAGGAGAGCCAGGTTCGAGTTTCCAAAGGACGAGTGGGTCATGGCCAGGAGGATCGCCGAGAACTGCAGGATGTCCCTCGAGAAACCATCTCCGGAAGCACTATTCCGGTTCTGGGTGTGTTGGACCATAGAGTGATCAAAGTATTCGTGGAGAGCTTCCAGTGCACCGACACGTTCTCCGTGTCGCAAGCAATTCAKGTATCGCAGAAAGTGCGCCACGGGAAGCTCCGGATCGATAGCTAGCATCTTTCGAATGTRAACCTCCATCCGTTCAAAGGACCACCGCCCCCGTCGGCTCCGKCGGTCGTCGGAATTTGAATTCGTGKCAATGGGAAGAGCGTCAGTGTTGTTGTTGGCTTCGTGTCTTCCTTTKCCGACGCCATTCGTGTTGGTTCTGCTGTAGTCATTTGCACCCGCGTCGTGGTTGCTTTCTGTGCCTCGGTCCCTCTCGAAGCCAATGCAGTCTTCGCGCACGATGGATTGCAGCTGCTCGGTGGAAAGAGGCCAGGAACAAGAGGCAAAATTGCTGTCGATGTCGATGCCGGTATCGATGCCGGTGTCGATATCGATAAGGTTTTTGTTGCTGCCACCACCGCTATGGGCTTCGCTTGGTTCGAAAGCGGAGTCTCCGCCCCGTGCATCCATGTYCCGCACGCGGTCCCCCAGGGCCCGCCACAGCAGGACGGACGACTCGAAAGAGAGCTCGCCGAATCCCAGGCAGTGCTGCCGCAGRTAGAGCCCGTGGAGGCTCGAAGCGTCGACAAGGCCCTCGTGCATGGCCCCCCGGAGGGAGTCGAAGAGGTCCACTAGCGCGTCGACAGACTCCGAGGCCATCCGCAGGGTTTCCGCCAGGAGGTCTCGGGCCTGTKTCCCCAGCCGGGAGCGGAGCCGTTCCATCCAACGTCCGAGGGCATTGGCTCCCGGGTGGTCGTCGTCGTCGTCGTCCTGGCTGCTGTTGTTGCCGCTGCTGTTGCCATTCCACTTGATTCCGCGGTAGGCCACGCGGTGGGCCACACGGTGGGTTCCAAAGACGCTCTCCTCTAGAAAGGCGGCTACCCTGTTTCCCGACCCGGCGATCGGAGATCCCTCGTCGTCCTCGAGTTCGTGAAGGTGGGAATTCGGGTCGGAGTAGAGCGCGATGAGGGCGCAGATGCCGATCGATTGAGGGCTGGGCCGTTCCGCCATGGCTGCTGGGTGGGCAGGGAAAGAGCTACGAAAATGGAACCGKGGGTGGAAGCACCTCGCCAACCGTTTGGTCGTTGGTGTCGTAAAATATCSAATGCGTTCCAGTACCAGGTACCATACTCGTAGTTCGAGATGAGAGAAGGAAAATAGTATCTACAGTACGGTAATACGTTAGACAGGGGTGACGGTGATTAGGTACTAGAGCTACTAAGTACGGGCCCCATAACGGCAAGTTATTGGCAATTTCCGTACGTCAATTTCTTCTCATTTTCCCGTCTCTATTTCCCCTCTCCCCCCATCCRCACAAAAAACTATGAAGTCCAAAAATATTTCTATTCCTGGTCCTTACTAGTGAGAATATCAAATCAGTGCTTATCTTGAATATTTAGGACCACCAATAGAAATATTTTGGGACTAGCGAGAAATTAAACAATGGAAATATTTTTATTTTGGTCCATTGGATGCCTTTTTTAACTGGTTTTAACTGTAAAAATGAGCTAAAAATTTCTATTAGTATTTGTACGGGGATTGCCAATAACTTGCCATTATGGGGCCCGTACTTAGTAGCTCTATTAGGTACAGGAAAAAAGTGCTGGTAGCCTACAGAGACATGCCGGAAACTCACATCTCTGTGTTTCCCTCGGCAACAATGACTCGGCAACAATGAATTTTGTTTTCAAACGAATTCAAATTGGTCTGCTTCGGTAGCAGTGGAAGTCGAAGGTGTTAGCACTGTACGTGCTCGTACTGGTTGCTGAGATGGAGCTTCCAGAAAAAGGGCACGCGCGAATCGTTAAAAACTCTTATTCTTTTCCCATGAGAAGGCACCCGTACACGTATTTCGTGCAATACTACATACATACATACATACCTACATACATTCATACATACCTACATACATACCTATATACCTGAGCTCCGCGCCACAAAATAGTTTATGACACATGGCCCGAGCCAGAAAATTTATAGTGGATCCTTGTAGAACCTTTACCGGTACGCTACTGACGATTTACTGTTCTGATGAGAGTATACGGCAGGATAAAGGTACGGGTTGTTTTCAGCAGTGTTACACTCCTTGTCATAATTTGCAAAATGCGTCATCACCATCACATAGGTTGACATCCATTTATTTTTATGAAGAAACAAAACCACGAGAAGTATTTATTTCATTACTGTACGAAGTAACCAATGACGACAATGAGATTATTGAATTTAATAATAACCATTACCTTCGGTTCAGAACTGCCAATACTCTCTGCAGGTTCCCAAGTTAAACGTACGAGTAGCCTGATCAACTACATTGACTGCAACCAACGGGGAGAAAATCTGTCTTAGACTTGGTCACTTACGTTCCAAGGTGAAGGTTATTACTAAAGCGAGAAGAGCAGCGTGTTATTTTATTCATCTCCAGTGACGAGCGAGCGATTAAGATCCCCTTCATCTCCAGGGACGGACGAGCGACACGAGAAGTATTTATTTAACAACAATGAGATTCTTCAATTTAATAATAACCATTACCTTCGGTTCAGAACTGCCAATACTCTCAGCAGGTTCCCAAGTTAAACGTACGAGTAGCCCGATCTTCTACAATTTATTGCTAGCTTGTGACAAACTAATTCTTCCTATTTACTAAATSATCAACTAATGAATACTCTTTTCCGCGCTTTATGTCTCCTTCCAACGAATCAATACACAATTTGCAAGATAGTGCTATTAAATAGCAGCCATTGCAACGACCATAGTGATAACAGCCACTGCAACAAGCYTTTTGCTGAAATCAACATTGAATGCGGGAGCCGTAAGGCTATCATCGATATCGATATCGATACCTTCCGATGAAAGACCAATAGTGGTGACAAAGGAACTGTCTCCGGGCTCAAGAGATCCTTCCTGGAGTCCACGAGATTTGGTCGAGAAACTTGYGGTCAAACGGCGATCGGAGTACGGATGTTCTTCACACAYACCTATAGAAATGTCCTTGCACACCTCAACATGATCCCTTCCTGTCCAGTSAAAAATTYTTTGAAAATCGCCWTGGGTTTCTCGCATACCTGCTCTATCAATCACTTKACCCTTCCAATCGTACATATTACGTTGCCASWKAACTAAAGGGTAAGAGCAAAGGCGAAAATAGGAGWATTCATCGAAATCTTGTTCGACTTGGATGGCATACTTTATTTKAGGATAGTCAGGGTCATATCGAACCTTTGTCCAAGATCGAAACGAGTCATTGTTGGCAAAGTGAGCATCGATTTTTGTGCAAATACTACTGGTATGATGTAGAAGGAACTTACAAATTGCTTAGRCTGCAAATAATCCCCAGTTCCCATACATTTTTGATTCTGATTTGGGTCCCAAAACTGTTCAATAACATGACCGCCTTCGTTGACATCTTGAAAACTTAGAGCTGGGGGATTCTCACCAACTCCTACGTTTTTGAAATGCCCCAATTTTTCGGATCCGTCGAAAAATGTGTTCCCGTTGACAACATCGAYAAAAAGTACTCTTGCATTTTTTGCATTTGTGACACAAAAGGCAACTTTCATATGCTCGTTTTCGCCAAGTACAATCTCCCTGGTGGGAATTATATAGGTACAGGTTTTGCCAGGATCTTCGTACTCCAGAACTGCTTGACCAGAGCATTCGATAGCGCCGTCTACCGCATCATCAAAATATGACGGGACAATCACACCCTTGAATGCTCCAGCGCGCTCTCCCATTGCATTTCCATTTTCATCCATGCTGTCTTCAACATCGAGTGAGATACTGGTCAAATCATTTGTCKCATCTCCATTTTCATCTACAAGATYGACGTCGTTGCCACAGACAACATTCTTGAACCCCACAACTTTGTATTCTTTTTGATAATCTGTGGTTGGACGAACGCACRCCTGGAAGTCTTGACCAACCTTGTACTTGTCGACCAATGGCTTCCCGTCGTTGATGCCGCTGTCGCCACACAAGAACGACTCAACRGGTACAGTGTTTTCGATAGTCTCAGTCTGCAAAACCTTCGAGGATTCAAGAAGTTCAACTGCTTGCGTAAAGTCTCCAAAGCTTCCTGTGGTGTCAATATCAACCGTCAGTTCTGCGTCCACATACGACACATACTCAGTGCCTTCTTGGGTATTATCAAAGTCCGACTTAATGGTAGCTCGAGCACAAAGTTTGGCCACGCCTTTTCCATCACCCTCTTCTGTGTAGATTAAAGGTTTGCTGCGGAAATCGGCGATGCT